TCAATTGAAGTGCCTAAAAAATTCTAGTAGTTTTTAGAACCACATATTTTCCAAAATTCCTAAAGAAAACAAATTATTTCGGACAGGTGATTTTTTTTCCCATGTGAAATGAAGAGTGACATTGCAGAGTGAAGGCATTGTAGAGTGAATTCGGCAACGCTAAAGCCTAGTGATGCCGTTAGACATTTCACGAGAAATCACGAGACTATACTTTGGAGGGATTGTTTCGGTCTCAGTGAACACGGAAATTTTTCATCTTGTCTCAGTCGTGAAATACTCAGTATCTGATGACTTCGAGTCGATTTATCTCATCTCGGTTTCCAGTTTTTCGCGTTTTTTATATGCAGAAAACCGAGACGAGACAAACCGAGATTTTACATTAAAAAACACGAAAAACTTGAGACCGAGATGAGATCAATTGACTCAGAGTCATCACGAGAGGAGTCGATAGTGGGTATTTCGAGACAGACGTCAACAAAGATGTCCATCTTCTCTGAGGCCGAGATCATCTCTCCAAAGTTGTCTCGTAAAGTGCCTCGCGGCATCACTACTAAAGCCTAAATAACACGGCGACGAATCTCCGCGGAGGTGAGCAAAGTCGCCGGGTTGCGTTTGGTGACTAGACTAGGGTTAATTCGAAGAAATGTAACTTTGTTCCTTCTCGATTACAATATCCATATTGTACAGTCGAGCACTAAAGTTTGTAAACAGAATGCAAGTTCAGGCTGTTCACGAACTTTAGTGGTCAACTGTACATTAGTTCACTGAGACCTTATGAAACTTTCAGCCTATTTTTTTTTGTTTGAATTTTTTCATGAACGGTTTGAACAAACCGTTCATGAAATTTTTTAGTCAACTTGACCTTTCAAGAAAAATTATTTTTTTATGAGTTGTGCACACCGTGCAATTGAATTTTGAATAGATTCAGAATTCGAAATGATAGTCGCCTGTAATTTCATAATTTTTAGTAATTGCTATTTCCGTATAGATCTAATGATAAGGCTCTCACTGAGCATTTCTTAACCCCTTGAGCCCGGTGTCCATACCACATATGAATCCACGCGTGAATGTATGTCCCTTTTCAAAGTTGACGAAAAGTTTTCTGCCAATTTTCCTCAGTAGTGAAAAAAGAGTGTACAATGATTGTTTCATTGTTCTAAAACAAAATCCACCCTTTAATCTACACTAAAATCTATTCGATTTTAATTGACAGTCAAAGCGTTCATAAAATTATTTATTAACCTTGACCTTTCAAGAATAGTATATTTCGTAACGAGTGCAAAAAAGTGTTTTTTGGCGAGTGGGAGGTTTATATCACGAGCCGAAGGCGAGTGATATAATCCCACGAGCTAAAAAACATTTTTTCACGAGTTACGAACAATATTTTTCATCACAATGTGGCGGAAATTGGACTTTTAGGCACGCGGAGCGTGCCGAAAAGTTCACTTTTCGTCACAGCGTGATGAAAAAATTATTTTTTTATGAGTTGTGCATACCGCGTTGTGCAATTGAATTTTGAATAGATTCAGAATTCGGAACAATAGTCGCCTGTAATTTCAGTAGTGAAGTGGTAAACCAGTATAAGTCGATTTTGACTATTGCCCTGTTTTCAATGAATATCTCAAAATCTAAGGGGCATAGCCAAATTTTTGTCACAAACTTTTTTATCGAGCAAATTGAACGCTCCAAAATGGTAATTACCAAAATTTCGCTATTTCCTTTAGATTCCAAGCTATTTATGGAAAACTGGCCAATAGTCAAAATCGACTTATACCGGTTTACCACTTCGCTACTGATTTCATCATTTTTAGTAATTGCTATTTTCGTATAGATCTGATATTAAAGCTCTCACTGAGCATTTCTTAACCCCTTGAGCCCGGTGTCCATAGCGCATATGTACCCACGCGTGAATGTATGTCTCTTTTCAAAGTTGACGAAAAGTTTTCTGACAATTTTCCTCAGTATTTAAAAAAAAGAGTGTACAATCGACGAAAATATCAAACCGAAGTTAGTATGTTTCACCATTCCCCCTGCAGAATTATTAGTACTCGTTAACATTTCAAGTTTCGCGTCTTCAAATCTTAAAAACTGTGCAAATTAACGAACGTCAGAGCTGTTAATTTCATGATGATAAATCTCCACGAACCTCTGAAGTTTGCTGACAAATGAAGTCCACTAAATTCTGAAGTTTTTTAATAATTCTCCTGACATTTAAAATTTTAATATCATAAAAATGTTATCCAAGGGGGCTAAAAATTGTGGAATGAGAGACAAACGTTGGACAATCAGGGACAAAATAACGCAGTACCGGGGAATTCTGAAATTGCACGGTAATTTCTCATGAATAAAACTCCTGGTGGAGATATACGGAGAAAATGAATGTTTGCAGGACGTGAAAAAAAATTACGAGCAATTGATGCTGGTAGAGCACGGAAACGCACCTCGAGGGAGTTGAAGATTCTCAGTGGAGAAGTCAAGGAGTATCGTGGTATTCTAAACGAGGTTGAGAATGGCGACAAGAGAAGAATACACACAATGTTGCAGGGTCACAAGGACTTTCAGTTGGCGTATGAAAATCACAATCCAGGCGTAGGATTATTTTGTAGGGCCCCCACTCTACAATCTACCGCAAATAAAAAATGAAAAAACTTATATTCTCTCTTTCTCCAGACGGTTAGCGATGCAGTTGACCAGGATAACTGCCTCAAACGACGTCAATTGGACAAATTGTACTACGTCAAGCGAAAAAGAATGAAGGAATCCTTTGATCACAAGGTTCATCATCTTTCTCCGTTTCAAATCCTCAAGAGTATTATGGCGGGGCTACTTTGTTACGAAAATTGAAATCCGTTGATATCTCGAGTTTTCTACGCATGGAAAAATTTAACAGAATACACGGAGAGAATTATTCCATAAAAATTACGTATCTTTCGCGTAATTTCGGAGCGAAATGTGGTTGTAGGAAATTTTACGGAAGTGTTACGGAATTTTTCCAGAGCGTTCCGTAATTTTTACCTGAATCTCCTGTGAAAAATTACGATACCGTCACTTAAATTTTCTGAGTCGACTCCGTAATCGGTGAGTGAACTGCAAGTTCCGTAATTTTTACTGAACATTTCTCTCCGAGTAACCTGGCGCTTTCTTTGAGAAATTCTATTGAAATCCTATTGGATTGGAACTCAGTAAGAATTTTATCAGAGTTCTATGAGGATTCTAGTGCAAAATTGTTTGTTTTTTCATCACTTGTGCGCAAAGTGAAATTTACGCACGCTCCGCGTGCGCGAAATCCCGCTTTCCATACATTGTGATGAAAAATGGGGCTCGACACTCGTTGGAAAAGTGTTATTTGGTCGTTGGGAGGATAGCAGTCGCCTCTGGCGAGCGCTACACACCTCCCACATAGTTATAGGGGAGCCCGGGGCAAAATGAGACTACTGTTAAATTTTGCGACGTTACACAAATGATAGATTGTTCTACAGTTACTATGATCCTTGCGGCGTTTGACCCTCGCGAGGCAGAACTCTTACCAGGTATGGTGCTTGCGACGTTTGATCCTCGTTAAGTAAAACGGGAGAGACCTAATTATTCCTATCGATTTATGATCAATCGGCCCTTATCCTTAAAATTTCATAGACAGCTGACTAGTAATTTTCAGACAATAAATGCGATTGAATGCGATTTAGGGGGAAAAAATGTAGCGAAGCTACTTTTATATTTATTTCACAACATTTCAATGTATTGTTTTCGAGCTCGGCTTAGCAACCGAATTTCGTACCGTGACACGTGTCGCCGATATATCGCTGTCCTGGTCGCAAGGCATCCTCGCGACGATTCGTAATAATTCGGACATCCTCGATCGCATGATCTAATACCGTTGTCGCGGGAGCTCACTCTCGTTCCAGCTCTCATGGTGTAAACAAAAGTTACTTTCGCTCTGAATCAATTCAATTCGATATATACGCTAATTTCGAGTGTTATAACTTACAAAACCCTTCTATCCTTCACCGAACCCCACAAAAAATTATAAAACTTCAGAATTCACAGAAAGTTCAAAATTTTTAAGCAGCATTAACACCAGAATTCGTCAACTTATTAGAATTTTCTACGACAAAATGAATATTTAGTGTTAAATTAAGCGGAATTTTCAATTAATTGAAAATTCAAGATTATATTTACTGAAATTGTCTTGATTTCCATTAAGTTTCNTTTGCGGCGTTTGACCCTCGCGAGGCAGAACTCTTACCAGGTATGGTGCTTGCGACGTTTGATCCTCGTTAAGTAAAACGGGAGAGACTTAATTATTCCTATCGATTTATGATCAATCGGCCCTTATCCTTAAAATTTCATAGACAGCTGACTAGTAATTTTCAGACAATAAATGCGATTGAATGCGATTGAATGCGATTTAGGGGGAAAAAATGTAGCGAAGCTACTTTTATATTTATTTCACAACATTTCAATGTATTGTTTCAATTCGATATATACGCTAATTTCGAGTGTTATAACTTACAAAACCCTTCTATCCTTCACCGAACCCCACAAAAAATTATAAAACTTCAGATTTCACAGAAAGTTCAAAATTTTTAAGCAGCATTAACACCAGAATTCGTCAACTTATTAGAATTTTCTACGACAAAATGAATATTTAGTGTTAAATTAAGCGGAATTTTCAATTAATTGAAAATTCAAGATTATATTTACTGAAATTGTCTTGATTTCCATTAAGTTTCAGGGAATAATTAAACTGACATTTGCAGTTCTCATTGATTTTCCCATGAGATTCTGAATTTTCAATGACGAAATTCCTTGAAATTTTAGTGGAACTAAAATATGATAAAAATTCCCTGAAAGTGTATTGGAAATTTACAGCCAAAACATTTTCAATTATACAAAAAAAATCGAGTTATGATGAACTTCAAAACTATAAAATTCATAATTATAAGATGAAATATCTGCATGAGACAAGAAATTGTCTCATTCCCGTAAAAAATAGAATATTACTCATAACGAGCATTAGCGATTGTCTTAGATAGAAGTTCCTTATTTTGATTCGAAAACTTATTTTCCTACTTATGTGATTTGTTAAACGACGTTACATCGAAAAAACACTGGAGACATTTGTTGAAAAATAAACAAACCGAGGGATCTCATTTTACCCCGCTGTCCATTTTGCCCCAGTCTCCCCTATAATATTAAAGGANTCGAGTTATGATGAACTTCAAAACTATAAACTTCATAATTATAAGATGAAATATCTGCATGAGACAAGAAATTGTCTCATTCCCGTAAAAAATAGAATATTACTCATAAAGACCATTAGCCATTGTCTTAGATAGAAGTTCCTTATTTCGATTCGAAAACTTATTTTCCTACTTATGTGATTTGTTAAACGACGTTACATCGAAAAAACACTGGAGACATTTGTTGAAAAATAAACAAACCGAGGGATCTCATTTTACCCCGCTGTCCATTTTGCCCCAGTCTCCCCTATAATATTAAAGGATAATTCTTTACAAACTTTCAAGCTTTGCTCTACTTTTTTGATGAAACAAAAAACGTATTTTTCCATAAAACCCCATATGTTAAATTAAAAAACTTATGACTGAATTTCTTCATATTCTCCTTTCACCTCGTAAACGCTTGCCATTTGAAAATTCGTGCACAAATTCAGGATGTAAGAACCTCAAACCCGAACTTGGCTTCAGGATTGTATTTACATTTTTAGCACCTCGCCGTAATGTCCATAATAAAACAGGATAAACGCACTCAACTTCAGGGTGACTTCCTGTTAAATATCTTTGAATACCAAAGAGAAAGAAAAATTTCAGAAGGATCTTTCCTATAGACCTCACTTCACTCTAGAAGAACTAAAAAAAAGTGATCCTCAAATTGAATCCACTTTTCTCGTTCTACAATTCCTCTAAAATCGAATACTACTCAATTTAAAACTCTTCTGCCTAAACAGCNGTTTACAATCTTTCAAGTTTTTTAAAATCCCATATGTTAAATTAAAAAACTTATGACTGAATTTCTTCATATTCTCCTTTCACCTCGTAAACGTTTGCCATCAGCCATTGGAAAATTCGTGCACAAATTCAGGATGTAAGAACCTCAAACCCGAACTTGGCTTCAGGATTGTATTTACATTTTTAGCACCTCGCCGTAATGTCCATAATAAAACAGGATAAACGCACTCAACTTCAGGGTGACTTCCTGTTAAATATCTTTGAATACCAAAGAGAAAGAAAAATTTCAGAAGGATCTTTCCTATAGACCTCACTTCACTCTAGAAGAACTAAAAAAAAGTGATCCTCAAATTGAATCCACTTTTCTCGTTCTACAATTCCTCTAAAATCGAATACTACTCAATTTAAAACTCTTCTGCCTAAACAGCTTGAGTTGACACATTTGAAAGACGAATATGAGCTTCAGTCCCTGGTGCCGGAACCCGACCGCGACCAACAGAGCCTCATCGCGCTTTATCACGAAGCCCGGGCTAATGAGACAGCAGCAAAGGCTGTCAACAGAACGTATCAAAGCATGTTAAACATCCTGGAAAAAGTAAACAATGGCCATTAAAAATAAACAATGTACTATAAAAAAGAGCCTTCAAATTTCAGTTTGGAGGCCCAAGCCTTCCACTCCCTTATTATTCGCATAGAAATATTCTCCATCCAATCGTTTATCCTCCGCAGGAGACATTCTGCTTTGACGCAGTATTGAAGGCCTTGAAGGGGGATAGAGTGGAACAATGCACTGTGCTATTACGCACGACGACCATGGGTCAACTAGCTGCTGAGGATCTAGATGACANAGCAATTTAGGAGGAAAAAAATCATGAAATTTCCGATTTCACTGAAAATTCAATTTAATTTGCCACTGAATATTCATATTAGATTGGAAATTCAAATAAATTAAGGAATTCTCGTCTTTATGCTGTTTAAAATTCTGGAATGTTACTGAATTTTCAGTGAAANATCTTTCCTATAGATCTCACTTCACTCTAGAAGAACCAAAAAAAAATGATCCTCAAGTTGAATCCACTTTTCTCGTTCTACAATTCCTCTAAAATCGAATACTACTCAATTTAAAACTCTTCTGCCTAAACAGCTTGAGTTGACACATTTGAAAGACGAATATGAGCTTCAGTCCCTGGTGCCGGAACCCGACCGCGACCAACAGAGCCTCATCGCGCTTTATCACGAAGCCCGGGCTAATGAGACAGCAGCAAAGGCTGTCAACAGAACGTATCAAAGCATGTTAAACATCCTGGAAAAAGTAAACAATGGCCATTAAAAATAAACAATGTACTATAAAAAAGAGCCTTCAAATTTCAGTTTGGAGGCCCAAGCCTTCCACTCCCTTATTATTCGCATAGAAATATTCTCCATCCAATCGTTTATCCTCCGCAGGAGACATTCTGCTTTGACGCAGTATTGAAGGCCTTGAAGGGGGATAGAGTGGAACAATGCACTGTGCTATTACGCACGACGACCATGGGTCAACTAGCTGCTGAGGATCTAGATGACACGCATCAGCGTTACAAGAGAATGGCCAACGATGTTTGGAGGAATATGAAGGAACGTGAGAGAAATCTCAAAAGGGCGCGGACAAAAGTCAAAAACCTGTGGCAACACGCGCGGTCTCTCGTCAGAGTAGAGGTCTATTAGTTCACCGAACGTCGAACAAAAAATGAAAAAAAAAGCTAGAAGAATGAGGGGGGGGGGAAACGTTTACGATAACGGAAATTGACTTTTCCAGAGTGACATGGACTACGCGGAGAAGCTGAAAAGCAGAAAGAAGTCGGTAGCTGACAAAGATCTCAAAAAACAAATTGAGGAACTGGAGGCTACATTCGAAAGGGTCAAAGACGCGTTAATGATACGTTCTTCCGATGAAATGCTCACGAGGTAATAGAGAGACACCTGTGGTCACATTTCTACGGTTTTCATATGGTTCATTGACTCGGTAGATTCGAGGAGCAGAAGAGGAAGAAGGAGCGTCTAATTGGGCAATTTAACAGGAACCTTGAGGAGCGTGATTTATACTTGAATAAGAAGGAACACGCCTCNAAACGTATCAAAGCATGTTAAACATCCTGGAAAAAGTAAACAATGGCCATTAAAAATAAACAATGTACTATAAAAAAGAGCCTTCAAATTTCCGTTTGGAGGCCCAAGCCCTCCACTCCCTTATTATTCGCATAGAAATATCCTCCATCCAATCGTTTATCCTCCGCAGGAGACATTCTGCTTTGACGCAGTATTGAAGGCCTTGAAGGGGGATAGAGTGGAACAATGCACTGTGCTATTACGCACGACGACCATGGGTCAACTAGCTGCTGAGGATCTAGATGACACGCATCAGCGTTACAAGAGAATGGCCAACGATGTTTGGAGGAATATGAAGGAACGTGAGAGAAATCTCAAAAGGGCGCGGACAAAAGTCAAAAACCTGTGGCAACACGCGCGGTCTCTCGTCAGAGTAGAGGTCTATTAGTTCACCGAACGTCGAACAAAAAATGAAAAAAAAGCTAGAAGAATGAGGGGGGGGGGAAACGTTTACGCTAACGGAAATTGACTTTTCCAGAGTGACATGGACTACGCGGAGAAGCTGAAAGGCAGAAAGAAGTCGGTAGCTGACGAAGATCTCAAAAAACAAATTGAGGAACTGGAGGCTACATTCGAAAGGGTCAAAGACGCGTTAATGATACGTTCTTCCGATGAAATGTTCACGAGGTAATAGAGAGACACCTGTGGTCATATTTCTACGGTTTTCATATGGTTCATTGACTCGGTAGATTCGAGGAGCAGAAGAGGAAGAAGGAGCGTCTAATTGGGCAATTTAACAGGAACCTTGAGGAGCGTGATTTATACTTGAATAAGAAGGAACACGCCTCTGTGATACTCGCCAATTTGGAGCACTCTATGATTACTACCACTGGCCAGTAATGTCTCTATTAGTNATCCTCGTCTTTATGCTGTTTAAAATTCTGGAATGTTACTGAATTTTCAGTGAAACCTGAAATTTCATGATTTTTTGTCCCCTGAATCGCATTCAGTGTCACTATCCTGAAAATTAGTAGTCAACTGTCCATCAAATTTCATTTTTTTTAACAGTGTACGTTGACTCACTCCCCAATGTTCGTGTGATTAACAAAAGGTTTAACCGACACATTTGATGTAATTATGGAATCATTTCGATAAACTACANGATTACTACCACTGGCCAGTAATGTCTCTATTAGTGCACTTGTTTTAATTTAATATTTCTGGAGCATGTGAGTAACTTATTGGGGGAGTGGTGATGGGATGCGATGGGGTAAAAGCAGAGTGAAAAGTTTTTTACCGATATTTTTGGCAGGAATCCATTGGAGGTTTTTGTCGACAGGGATTTTCACTTGCTCTTTGGTCCTGTACTGTTATAAATTTTTGTATGAAATGTCCAGTATACTTTTTGGAAATTCTTATCGAATTTATTTACCCTAGAAATTTCCAGGAATTTCGTCACCGAAAATTCAGAATTTCGTAGAAAAATCAAAGAGAACTGTAAATTTCAGCTCCATTTTTCCCGGAAAATAAGTAGAAACCCAGAAAATTCCGGTAAATATATTCTTGAATTTTCGAGACAGACACTGAAAGCAATTTAGGAGAAAAAAAATCATGAAATTTCCGATTTCACTGAAAATTCAATTTAATTTGGCACTGAACATTCATATTAGATTAGAAATTCAAATAAATTAAGAAATTCTCGTCTTTATGCTATTTAAAATTCTGGAATATTATTGAGTTTTCAGTGCAACCTGAAATTTCATGATTTTTTGTCCCCTGAATCGCATTCAGAGTCACTATCCTGAAAATTAGTAGTCAACTGTCCATTTTTCCCGGAAAATGAGTAGAAAACCCAAAAATTCCAGTAAATATATTCCTGAATTTTCAGGACAGTAACTATGAAAGCGATTTAGGGGGAATCATGAAATTTCCGATTTCACTTAAAATTCAATTTAATTTGCCACTAAATATTCATATTAGATTGGACATTCAAATAAATTAAGGAATCCTCGTCTTTATGCTGNTTTTTTCTTTTCAACTCCTTATGAATGATATCTTTCTAAATTTTACAGAATTTTTTCAGAATTGTAATTAGATCTTTTCTGTTGGAAAAGCAAAAAACTGAACAAATGAGGCTCTTTTTTTGTGAAGCCAGGAAAAAGGCGCGCGCTCCGCGCGAGCATGAAATAGATGCTTTGCGATAAGCTAAATTACCACACTGAGAGAAAAAATTACTTTTGACAAAGATTATTTCCTTGATACAAAAAAATGAACGATACTTTTCCGTAGTAATTTTCACTTTTACGAGTTTGGGGTGGAGCCAGTACCAATCCCCGAACGAAAAAAGTGACGGTCAGTACGGAAATAGTTATTTTCATCACAAGGTCCACAAAGTATTTTCTGACGAATGTGGCTTTGTGGCCTATAATCACATTCGTCAGAAAATACTTTTGGACCGTGTGATGAATGCAATTTTTCGCGAGGTTAGAATCGCGGTTTACCGGGCCTTCTCACGAAAAATATAGTCTCTCTGGTGAAAATTCTCGTATGCATAAAATTTCTCAGAGCCACAGTGTGCCACATGATTCTATNAGTCACTATCCTGAAAATTAGTAATCAACTGTCCATTTTTCCCGGAAAATGAGTAGAAAACCCAAAAATTCCAGTAAATATATTCCTGAATTTTCAGGACAGTAACTATGAAAGCGATTTAGGGGGAATCATGAAATTTCCGATTTCACTTAAAATTCAATTTAATTTGCCACTAAATATTCATATTAGATTGGACATTCAAATAAATTAAGGAATCCTCGTCTTTATGCTGTTTAAAATTCTGGAATGTTACTGAATTTTCAGTGAAACCTGAAATTTCATGATTTTTTGTCCCCTGAATCGCATTCAGTGTCACTATCCTGAAAATTAGTAGTCAACTGTCCATCAAATTTCATTTTTTTTTAACAGTGTACGTTGACTCACTCCTAAATGTTCGTGTAATTAACAAAAAGTTTAACCGACACATTTGATGTAATTATGGAATCATTTCGATAAACTACAGCGCTGTCAACTTTTTTCGAAGCGGATTTACTCATTTTTTCTCAGTAGAATTTATTGTCAAATACTTTTTTTTTTCAACTCCTTATGAATGATATCTTTCTAAATTTTATAGAATTTTTTCAGAATTGTAATTAGATCTTTTTTGTTGGAAAAGTAAAAAATTGAACAAATGAGGCTCTTTTTTGTGAAGCCAGGAAAAAGGTGCGCGCTCCGCGTGAGCATGAAATAGATTCTTTGCGATAAGCTAAATTACCACACTGAGAGAAAAAATTACTTTTGACAAAGATGATTTCCTTGATACAAGCAAATGAACGATACTTTTCCGTAGTAATTTTCACTTTTACAAGTTTGGGGTGGAGCCAGTACCAATCCCCGAACGAAAAAAGTGACGTTCAGTACGGAAATAGTTATTTTCATCACGCTGTGACGAAAAGTGAATTTTTCGGCACGCTCCGCGTGCCTAAAAGTCCAATTTCCGCCACATTGTGATGAAAAATATTGTTCGTAACTCGTGAAAAAATGTTTTTTAGCTCGTGGGATTATATCACTCGCCTTCGGCTCGTGATATAAACCTCCCACTCGCCAAAATAGTTATTTTCATCACAAGGTCCACAAAGTATTTTCTGACGAATGTGGCTTTGTGGCCTATAATCACATTCGTCAGAAAATACTTTTGGACCGTGTGATGAATGCAATTTTTCGCGAGGTTAGAATCGCGGTTTACCGGGCCTTCTCACGAAAAATATATTGTCTCTCGGGTGAAAATTCTCGTATGCATAAAATTTCTCAGAGCCACAGTGTACCACATGATTCTATGGACCATATTCATATTCCCTGTGGCACAGGTATATTTCACTGATTTCCCTGCGAAGAGTCAGAGCGTGAAAGGTCTCATTCATTTTATCGTATTGAACGGGAAATTCTTTCCTAAGAGAAATGATTAAGCGTCTCGGGTTCGAATCCACCTCATTCTGCTCTTTAAAATCTCAATGCATACAATATAATTCAAAAATGTAATAATCATTTTTAAAACGAAAAATGGAACTTGGAATTCAATTCTTTAAAAATATAAATATTGAAAGAAAGAAATATATTTATTTTTTCTCAAGATATTCAAGTCTAGGAGGCAAATATCCCTAAGACAAGCATGAGAGAGTAGATTGATGACAAAAAACGTTGCATTCTTTTTTTAAAAGAGAATATTTCATACACTACAAAAAGCGCTTCTAACATTTTGTTCTGGACTCTCTCATTTTGCGGATATTTGCATAATTAACCAAACGTTCCAGTATACTTACCTACTTAACATATAGGCAAACTGATGAGTCCGTTCCCATGAAATTGCGCAGAGCCTCCATTCCCCCGACACTAATCTTAAGGAAACGGATTGGATAGGTTTACTGTACCTGATTACGGAAAGATTTTGATATGTATTGAGTTCAGGGGCTTCATGTGAAAACGAAATGGCACTGATTATTGATTTTCAAATGATATTCATTGTAGTTGTCCGATTACGTATGAATTTTCATAGAATTTTTCGACATGTGGCTTTCAAGTTATTAATAATCAAATTCGATTTCACCAGTTAGGGTAAACTGCCCAGNTTTCATACACTACAAAAAGCGCTTCTAACATTTTGTTCTGGACTCTCTCATTTTACGTATATTTGCATAATTAACCAAACGTTCCAGTATACTTACCTACTTAACATATAGGCAAACTGATGAGTCCGTTCCCATGGAACTGCGCAGAGCCTCCATTTCCCCAACACTAATCTTAAGGAAACGGATTGGATTGGTTTACTGTACCTGATTACGGAAAGATTTTGATATGTATTGAGTTCAGGGGTTTCATGTGAAAACGAAATGGCACTGATTATTGATTTTCAAATTATATTCATTGTAGTTGTCCGATTACTTATGAATTTTCATAGAATTTTTCGACATTTGGCTTTCAAGTTATTAATAATCAAATTCGATTTCACCAGTTAGGGTAAACTGCCCAGTAGATGGACGCCTAAGAAAACCGCCCAGTAGATGGACGTTTGTTTTTTAGCAATTGAAAAAAAAAATTGATCGAAAAATTTTTAGTTTCACCGAAAATCCCACTGTACTACAAAATTTTTACTCCAGATACAAAGCGAACAAGAAAGAAACCCTCGAGCAGATAGAGTATCAAAAGAGAAGAAAAGCGGNCGGAAAGATTTTGATATGTATTGAGTTCAGGGGTTTCATGTGAAAACGAAATGGCACTGATTATTGATTTTCAAATTATATTCATTGTAGTTGTCCGATTACTTATGAATTTTCATAGAATTTTTCGACATTTGGCTTTCAAGTTATTAATAATCAAATTCGATTTCACCAGTTAGGGTAAACTGCCCAGTAGATGGACGCCTAAGAAAACCGCCCAGTAGATGGACGTTTGTTTTTTAGCAATTGAAAAAAAAAATTAATCGAAAAATTTTTAGTTTCATCGAAAATCCCACTGTACTACAAAATTTTTACTCCAGATACAAAGCGAACAAGAAAGAAACCCTCGAGCAGATAGAGTATCAAAAGAGAAGAAAAGCGGATTGCGAGAAAAAAAGGCGAGCCAAGGGTGAAGTATTAATTAATGTACGAAGCGCTTTGTTAAATATGCTGGGCTTGCTGGAGGTTGTGAAACGAGGAAAAGGCAGTGGTGGGGGTGGTAAGAAGGCCACAAAGGATCATGATAAAAAGACGAGAGAGAAAGCTAGGCGTAATGATGAGAAGGAAAGCGAGGATGAGAGGTCAATGCGATCCTTCAAACCTGACACACAGAGAGTGGAAACAGTCGACACTGACGGTGAATAGATTATCATTTAGATTTAATTGTGGCATTAATTACTGGGGCTTTTGTTGCAGCGCTTTCTTTGCTTTCTCAAGTAACTAAGAAGATGATGGTTCTTTATGGAATGAGTAACTTTGATCTTGATGAGGAGAGTGAACGGAACGCAAGGACTTTGTATCAGACTTATGTTGCTAATGCGCATTCGAAAATGAGATTTGGAGATGAGGACGTCGAACCTACTGGTAAATTATTTTGCCCAGAATCATTGAAAAATTGCCCTCGTGAGGTGGGGGAAGGGAATGATAGTAATTTCATTAAAGAAGCGAGCGCATTCGCTGTAAAATTCTATTGGATTTCTATCACAATTTTGTGGAGAATTTTTCCCACCTGAATTTCAGCCAATAGAATTGCACTATTCGACTATTATTTTATACTAGGGGGCTACGCCACCTGCTCGCTTTGCTCGCCAACCTCCATATGACCCACACATGGCCCTTAGTTTCTGACCCTCATGACCCTTATTTGGACCGTTAATCTGACCTTTGCGATCGTTAATCTAATACTTGTGACCCTTATTTGGATTCTTGACTCTTATTCTGAGCCTCATGGCCCTTATTTTGACCCTCCTGGCCCCTATTTTAACCCTTGTGACCCTTAATTTTGGAGTCGTATTTTCGAGTACCAAATTTTCATCACCAGAAGTGGATTTGGATTTTCATAATATAGAGAGATAATCAACACGGCATTCAACTGATAATTTTTGATAATTCCGCTGGCAAATTTTCATGTTGATGTATATATAAAAAATAAAACATTTCCTGGTTTGAGGGAGCCCCTCGTTGGAACTGATAGATAAACCGTCTCATAATGCAATTCTCTCGGTCAAAATTTGGATGGAAAAATTCTCTTCCGAATACCGTTCGAGCTTAAAAATGAATCAGGTATTTCGCTCGAAGTTCCCTGTATACTAACGAACTTGTCAAGTTTTTCGGGAAACATTGGACTCCTTTGTTTGTTTGCAACGATACTATCGGAAAATACCTGATAATTTTGACGCTCTTGTGGTATTACATACGAAAATTCTATTGGTTTCTCGATTCTATCGTAATTCCGCAGCTTTTCTGCGTATTTTTTTCTTCAGTAAAGAAAAATGTTTGATAGAAACTTTTATAGAAAAATAGAAATATAAAATTCCATTGATTTTTCTACGAAACTCATTTCACTCAGATATTTTCTATAGAAATCATTGTCATAAATTGTCCGAGTTTTTTTTCACTCCATTCTTTTCTCATTGCATTACGAAATTCAAAAAAAAATGGAGAAATCATGCGAAAAAATTTCCGTAGAAAATATCTCAATGGAATAATTCTTACAGAAGATTTGAATTGTGTTGATTTTTTTGATAAAACATTTTCTACTGAACGTTTCTATTGAAAAAAAATATTATTTCCATAGAAGTCTTATATAAATTTTTCTATGCAATTTTTTCGTGTCTAAAGTTCATAAATCACTCATTCATGACTTTTGAGAATAATTCAAAAGTGAACTTTTGACCTGATTTCCTGCTTCATCCCCCTTCATAGTTATAATTATAAAAAAATCCAATGTAACGTTTTTTGTTTTATATATATATATATATATATATATATTCTTTTTTTCTAAATACAATAGAACAAAATGAAAAATAATATTATAGCGCCATATGCAAAGCCATACGTGCGCGTACATGTCTAGTCATATTAAATATTCCTTTCTTCAATTTTCATAATTCATATAGGAATCGTTGTGGAGCACCAGGTGATCGATACATCAGTCTTCACTCGAGAGGACATAAAGAACCGTAGCCAGCAAATCGTCGAAGCAAATACACGATACCAATGATAAATTCTCCAATTGTTCATACTTTATCCATAATAATTTTTATTTTCAGTACTTATCAATAAATTACTTAATTTCATTTATACGCCCCCAACCCAATCGCTCCTTTCTCTTCTCGAGTACCAACCACGATGGCTGATTTTTTATCGGGTGAGCATTGGGATATTTGTATTTTGGTTTTGTTTCTTTGAAGGGGTCGATCTCTTTGAGTTTTTTCAGGAGGAAGTCCTTATTGATGTCCTTGGGATCTCGATATTTATCCATGTATAAATTGAAGGGTTTGCCTTTGGGAAACCACTCTTGAGGGCGAATGTAGGGAGGGGGGAAGTCGTATTCGAAGATTGGAGCCTTCATTTCTATAAAAGAATCAATTGAAAAAACAGACTTTAGAATTTTTCAACTCTGCTGAATGCATTTTTACGATCCATACAATATCGGAGAAAGTGGACTCGGAGAAGAGTAATTTCTTTTATCATTGCTAATCTTCATTTCAGTAATAAAATGTAAAAGAAGACAAGTCACTTTCGCCACGAGTTCCGTTTTCGTTGAATATCTTCCAAGGATGTTTATCCAAAACCGGACGAACTTAATTTTTTTTTAATTTTTTCAAACTAATAGACGGATTAAACTTATTTGATAAAAATATTAAACCACTAGCCAAGTTGATTGATGAAAATAAATAAATTACCGATTCTGTAGTGAAGTGGTAAACTAGGATAAGTGCAATTTTTTTGAAAAATTTTCTATTGCTTAAATTGAAAGTTTTCTCAAACGTAGTCAAATTTTTCAACTCTTCTGGAAAAGTTCCATTTTCCCACTTATCCTAGTTTACCACTTCGCTACAGCATTCGAAAATGAATCCCGTAAGAGCCCGTGTTTAAGGAAAAATTTGTTTATTCCATTTCATCAAAACTGTTGCAACGAATTTTTCTTACATGAAGAGATAAAAAACGCGTTGAATAAAAAATACTTAGAAAATCGTGGCAAATTTTGCGGTACGAACGGTAATCGTGGGGCGAAATGTAATCCTTTCTAAAAAAAAAGGATGGGCATATCTCGAATTGAAAGTGAGAACTCGAACATGGCGGGTATCTCGAGCGAATGGAGGAAATAAAGCGGTTTTCATAAGTACAATCGTCTTGCGTCGAATTTTCATGAAACCCGTCTGACATACAAAAGAGAATTGAATACCACTCTATGAAACATGAATAAACGAATCATAATTGTCCAAATCATTTAGGTCAGAGAAAAACTGAAAAATTCTACTTTCTTAATATTGCGTTTACGAAGATTTTTTCCGAGTAAAGTTGAATAGAATAAATCGCTACAACTATGAGATTATCTCTCATTTTTCTCAGTTAAGGATAGGAGAATCTGAATACAATATAGTGAAAATGATGAATGATTTTTCCACTTTGAACAATATCATGAATATCCAAACATAAAATTTCTGATATGAATAAAAAGAAGTTGTGATTCAATATTCCGAATTAAGTTTTAATTTGTAATTTAGTGCTGAAAACACGAGATGACAATATTCTAAGTATAGAATCATATTGATGAAATGAACAACAGATTAACAGCAGATTGACTTACCGTGTGAACTAATTGCGACATGATTCTCACCGATCGTACTGCTCTTTGGAATGAGAATGATTATAAACAATTACTTCAAGAAAAGAATATCGAATCTTCTGACCGGAAAAAGGGCATAATGAAAGGGCATCAACAACCTGGCCGCTTGCGGTTGCGGTGGCGCTAGCTCAATGGACAAATACCTGTTTGAAGAGGATACTTTACGATTCGTTCAGTAAAAAAGCACATCTTTTTTTAAAAACACATCTATGAATGCAAAAATTATTCTCCTGTTCAATAAAATTTCCAACACCGGTAGGGTATTTTTTTTCTTGCATTCATCTGAAGATCACGGGGATGAATGGACGCGTTCGGTAAAAAATCATTCTCCGTTACAAAAAATTATACGTAATATTCAGCAATCATTCAGGTTCACTGAGATAATTTTTGATGGAATGCGGGTAAATTTGACAGTTTCGTTACAAATTATCCTCAATTTCAGTAAATTTTCCCAGACCAACGTAGTAAAATCCACTATTCGTCTCGCCTTTTTTCCCCGATATAGGATGAAAAAGTAATGAAAACCGAGTTCGTTGCACGATTACTTAACTTGTTCGGTAATTTTTCCCCAACTTTTTCTGTAATCATCTGAAAATTTGGTTCATATGTTTCCCCTTCACCTCAAAAAATACAGAATTTCTCTCAAACATGAAACAATTCGATTCTCGGAAAATGGATAAACATCCTTAATTCAAGAGAAATAGTAAAACTATTCTAGATACGTCTTTTGTAGCTCGCATTTCGCCCTACCAAGAGAAAAGATCTCATCTCCCTTCCATCCGACGATAATCACCATAAAACTCACCCTCAAGTCCTCTTATCTCGATTTATCAATTTCTCACTGATTCCAGTGTTTAATCAACTTGGTCGAGAAGATAAACCAGATGACTTAATTTGATATCAACATTAGTTTCTAAAAATTATCTCAGAAATCGTGGGAATGGCAAAATTTTAACGCATACATTTTTCGTAGTGCGAACTACGAACTACAAAAAGATTCCTTACAAATTTCCCAATATTCCCGTCCTTTGAAGATATCCATCGAAATACAAAAAAATTGAGTTGACTCATGATTATTACGTCTTCCCAACAGACTAAGGAACGTGAATACTCACGTAAACTCTTGTGATAAAACTCCTGAACACTCTCATCCCAATCAGCCTGATAGAAAGCTAAACCCGCAGGGGTGAGACCATCCTGATGCTTCCTGTAGAAGTCTTGAGTCCTCCAATTGCGTTGTTCCAGCTCCAAGCACGGCTGTGCCTTTTTATACTCTGAGAAATCAATCTTTCCCTCTTGTTTATAAAGCACATAGATGTATCTGCAATATCCTAAGCCACGCGCTGGAATGGGCATCATGTAATCAATCAGAACGTCTCCCTTATCAACTTGATCCCCGGGAATATTTCCAGCGAACCAGTGACAGTACTCCAGCTCTCTATTCGTCAAATTCCCATCAGGAGTTGTGAGGAGGAGTGTCCAAAGAGAGCTCGGCTCAGCGGTATATTTGACAAAGGGAATATTTTTCACCTCATTCGGCTTTAATAAATTCCCTCTGTGAACAGTCGCTATCGTTTCCTCATTCACCTCGTAGTTGATCTCTAAAGGAATTGTGGGGTAAAAGTACGCATCTCCATAAAGGTCGTTGAAGATACCGTAATGCTCTGCTATTGTTTTTATGTGGCTTGGAGCATCAGTTTGCCACCAGTCCTCTTTTGCTGCTTTTAGGTCAATCGATACTGAAGAAGAATGAGAATAAAACTTCAGTGGGTGATACATATTCATGGGATCGTAATTGAGAGATTAAATTGGTTCAATTTTGAATCAGTTATGTGGCTGAAAGCTTTTGCATAATGACAAAATACTGGTGGGGTCGGACTGGCAGATGATTATTTTGTTGAGAGAATGGAAACAGATTTCGGCATAATGATCATAATTTTGTTTGAAATTATTTCATTGCATGCAAAATTAGTCAACTGTATTGGACAATTTCTACATTTTTATTAAATAACTAGGCGATCATGCGCAGTATCGCGCGCGACCACCTTCAAGTGAGCGCTGTAACGCACACTAACATCCTCGTAGTCATGGAAATCATTGACTGATCCATCAACCAATCGCAAGGCGAATAAAAAGTTAACAATCAAAACAATCATTCATTGTCAATCAACTTTATGAAAAAGGAATCAATCAACTTTATGAAAAAGGAATCAATCAACTTTATGAAAAAGGAATCATCAATCAAGTAATTGAGTTCAAAAGATGGACAATTATTTGATTAATCAAAAAATCAATTCCAGAAATTTGGTATTGTGTACTGGTCGTTGCTTTCATTATTATTTTTTTTTTTATTCATATTTCTTTCCTACTACCATTACGGTTTTATAGGCTCCCCATTGGTCTGCCTTGTCTCTCCCACTTCTCTCTTCTGATTTTTATCTGCGTTACCATGGGCCGTCTTACTCTTAACTGTACCCCATTCGGGCTAGGACTGCACGGGAAACCATGGAAAACCCCAATCGTACAGCCGACCGATGGTGCAGAGCCCTAATGTACCCTTTTGTCACATTAGACCACTACACCGTGCCGAAATTTTTGGGCGAGGGTTATTCCTAAGCAGTCACCCATCCAAGTACTACCCGCACTGAACGCAGCTGCACTCAAATGTTCGCCGGAGCAGCACCTAACTCACCCAACCATTATGTTCGGCTGTCTTTGCTTTGATTTATTGAATGATTTTCAAAAATTTCGTATTTTTCAAAATGACTAAATTACATATTCTAAATTAATTCAATCGTAGCATAAAATATCTGTTTCACTGCCACTTTGTCGGAGCTGGAGGTCATTACGATAGCTATATACGTTGGTTTCTTCAAATATGAGGGAAAATTTTTTTTTCAGGGCCGATTGCACCAAGCGTTGTTAGCCAAATAAATCGTCAGATTAAATTTATGTTTGATGAGACTATTTATGTCTGGAGTAAATTTATTCTACACTTGGATAATTTTAGGAAATCGTCGTAGTACTTTCATTCGGTCATTCGGTCGTGAATAATGCCTAACTCCTTCATAATTAGTGGTATTATTGGTAAATAGTGATGATACATCGACACACCACGTTTTTTGGTGAAATACTTTCGATCAAAATTCGATCAAAATTGGTCAGCAGATTATTTTTATCTATTCTGATACTGAACTGAGGATATTCTCAACTGAGCCTGGTGCAGCTGGGTCTTTAACGAAGTTTTAAGATAATACAGATAGCATAATTGTTTTATTCAATTTACGCAAGAATTTTCAAAAGAAATATAACACATTTGATTAAAGAAGGAATATCATTCAATTGAACGAAATAATATAAAACGATAAATGATATACGATAGAAGAAAATGATGTGCAAAATGAGCATTTCGAAGCATATTGCTAATTTATTATAGAAAATAGTTATGCTATATGAAGACACAAGTAATTTTCTACTCATTTTCCTTTGAACTTCATTACTCCTATCAATTAGAGATTGAGATTTTATAAATTTTAGGGCTGCATTGCATTGGACAATGAGAATTGCTAATAGTAAATCTAGTGTTGAACTGACAGATAAATTATTTTGTTGAGGAAATGGATTAGAAATTCAATAATTAGTGCATGGGCTGTGAAGGCATCACCACCACGCCTGTATCGAAGATTTTTTTTTAAACCACGAAGGCCTTTTGACGAATTCTCTCGAACCTTCCAACTCTGAAGAAAATCGCGAAATCATTCAAAAGTGAATTTGAGTGAATTCTGAGTCCATTCATAAACCAATGCAGTACATTTCAATTGGTCAATATTTAATTCCACCGAGATTTCAGTGGTGGTTAAGTATTCATGGACCTCGTAATGGTGATAACGAGCCTTTACCAATTTTGAATTAGTTATGTGAATGAAAGGCCTTGGAGAATGAGGATTGGTGATTGGGTCGAACTGATATATGAATTATTGTATTTAAAAACGTACGAAATATTCTCTTCTACTTTTTTCTGTGGATCATTCTGGAGTAAAGGGGTCAAGAGGAATTATTAAGAGCCCCTTTATGTGGGGAATTTCCAGCATTATGAGAAAGGTCTCTTGCTAAATCATTATGAACGACTTGACTTCAAAGATAGTTGCTAAATACTTGATGGAATTTCTAACTCAACTCGTCTTGTAAATTCATTATGTACATAATGCCTTGTACTCAAAAGGGAAGGAAAGTTTTTCCTCAAAAAAATTACCGAGAATCTGGCCATTTTTGCTTCCGAGAGGAAGCTATATAATCGTTCAAATTTAAGTTTTGCATTTTTTGTGTTATATCGACCCACCAGTATGATCCGAAAGTCCGAAACTGAAATTTTTGTGACTTCGAACGTACGTGTGTGTAACAAAGTTTTTCTCCAATTGTGCGCTAATGAATGGATGAAATTCAATTTTTTTTGCAAATGTAGTTATTGTTGAGTTCTATCGATCGTCATTCATTAAAATTTAATTAATCGATTAGTTTTTTTAATTTTCAGATTTTTTGGAAAATCTGTTCTCACGATAACTAAAAAATTTTAAATATTAAAAAATGTTCTGAATTGATTGAAAGATGGCTTAAGAAATTTGTTTGAATGTCCTTTTGTCCCAGTTGAAAGATGAAGGTGATCCCGGCTGGGCGAATCGGAATTTTTTCTCTCTAAATTTTAATTCTATTTGAATTTATTTAATGCCTAAAGGTGGTTAGGCAGCGTGCTGAGTTGAATTTGGAGTGAGAATTTCCGTGGTTCCCGGTAGCTTAGTCGGTAAGAGTGCCCGGCGCGTAACTGGGAGACCCGGGTTCGAATCCCGGCTGGGCGAATCGGAATTTTTTTCTCTCTAAATTTTAATTCTATTTGAATTAATCGTGAATAATCGTGCAATAATCGTTATTTTGATTTATTTTAAAATCTGCAAAAATTTTATATTTTTTGGAAAGCGGAATTCCGGGGCTAAAACAGCCAATAGCAAAAAAAATATTAAAAAATTTATTCTATATCTTAAAATGAAATATTTGAAAGCTCAGTGTTGGAATTCATGCCTGAATACAAAAATTAATTTCTTAATTTAGTTAAACATTTTCTCTTTTCCACCCAAACACTCAGGGTGACATTTATGGCTTTTCTTAGAAAATAGAGACGTGTAGAAAAACAGTCCTCATGGTGAGTCACAAAGGAGAGGCTGAAGAAAATTGAAACAAGGGCCTTTTGTCAAATGGGTCCAGAGAGTGAAAACTCTCATGACTTTTAGTTAGTCGTCCTAGAGACTTCGTTGGAGAAAGATATACCTTCTGCGTGCGATCATTAAAGAGTTTTACTTTGAAGAATAAAACTAATGTGTTTTTATTGAGTATTCCTACACATAATCCAATACTCAGTAACGGATAAATTTCCATTAGTACAAAAATTAAGTGTTAAAGACTCCGTTAATTTCTATCCAAATGTTCTCCCACACAAATTATGACACTTTCAACTGGACAATGTTATTCCGATTATCTTTATACCGGGAGTAAAAATGGAAAGTGTGAAATGCATTTAATCACAAAAGTTCTGTTTTATGCATTCGAAAGTCTTCAGTTTTTTCGCAAGTGCCTTGTGGTCACCCATCCACTTACTAACCACACTCACCGCCGCTCAACTTTCCAAAGCTAAAGCTGAGTCTTGTGAGAATACTTCGCCCTCGGGAGACTGGAGCAACATGAGCACTCTTAACTTGTGTTCCAGAAAATATTCATAACAGCTCAGAAACGGTTTCACTAATTGAGCTCCGTTTATAACTGAACTACATGTAGCGTAATTAGGTTTGGCGGAACGGGAAAATTTAAGGTGTTTAGTGAATTTTCTCGTTATCACAAGGGTCATAAGAGTCAACTGGGATGGACAATTGAAATCAGTGAATGGGCTAAATAGTTTTATTTTACATCGAGAAAAAAACAATTTTCTAGAAGCAAAAGAATTTTGTCACAACACATGAAAAAATCGTATAGAAAATTTCTATATGGATTGCGTATAAAAATTCTATAGGATTTCCATATATGATATTCGGATATTTCTATACGAATTATTTCTATACATAAATTTTTACATAAATTTTTTTTCATACGGAAGATGTTTAAATGCTCCAGCGAAAAACAGAGAAATGTCGCAATTCCATACGAAACGTTTATATACATGTGGCAGTGGGTCGTATAGGATCAAACCTATAGAAATTGTATAAAAATAATTTGTGTAAAAAATGTTCGTATAGAAATATCCGAATATTATATACGCAATCCGCATAGAAAATTTCTATACGATTTTTTCATCCGTGAAACTCTTCTCTAAAGATTGAATCAAATCGAACCACTGAGAAAAACAAATATTTTTGCCAAGAAATCATTTTCTTCAGAAGAGAAATTTTTTCCGAAGCATATTTCTCCAGGCCAGTCATTTCTAAATGGTTCAAAACAGATTTCAAATATTACAATTGCGTGAAACTTTAGAATGATTATCCTACATATGACCTTGGATCAATTTCGTTAACAATTATCAACATTTAGAATTATTCCAAATTATCTTACCCAAGAAAATCGAGAATACGAAAAAAATTATGAAAAATTGAGGTCATTCATTTAAGGTCATATGTAGCCTCTTATCATATGCAGACTCTTTTTATAGTTCAACATAATTATAATACGTGGAACCTGACGTGGCCACCTGGAAATGACT